CTACCGGCAGCCCATTGCGCTGCCCACGCTGCACGTCGTGGGCCAGGCCGACGCCGTCATCGCCCCCCAGCTCAGCCGGGAGCTGGCGCGGAGCTTCGTGGAGCCCGTGGTGCTCGAGCACCCCGGGGGGCACTTTGTGCCGGCGGCGGCAGCGCAGAAGAAGGGCTACCTGGCCTTCCTGGAGCGCTTCCAACCCGCGCAGGGCCAGCCATGGGTGCCAGGGGCTGAGGCCTTGTGAGGACAACAGCCAAAATAAACGGGGCTCCCCTGAACCACACGCAGCCACCTGGGTTGGAACCTCAGTCTGGCCCTCTGTGCTGGAGCTGAAACATGGGCCTTGTGCTCTTGCTCTTCTCCTGTGCAGCGTTAACACGGAGCCAGGCAAAGCTCCTCCTTTTAATTTGTTTGTTTGTTGAAAAACAAGAGTTTGAGTTGTGAGGACAACAGCCAAAATAAACGGGGCTCCCCTGAACCACACGCAGCCACCTGGGTTGGAACCTCAGTCTGGCCCTCTGTGCTGGAGCTGAAACATGGGCCTTGTGCTCTTGCTCTTCTCCTGTGCAGCGTTAACACGGAGCCAGGCAAAGCTCCTCCTTTTAATTTGTTTGTTTGTTGAAAAACAAGAGTTTGAGGGTGAGAAGATGACATCTGGCATGGTTCTGTCTGTAATGTGCTGGGAGGCTTTGGGAAACTTGTGTAGCCAAAGGTAGAGCCCCCGCCTTGGCCAAAGGGAATGGCTGTGGAGCACATGGCTCTTGTGCCTTTTCTATCTCAAAGTTTTGAGAGTTTTGAGATATATGTGTGTGTGCGTGTGTGTATCTCTTCCCCCGTGTAAAGTATCAAGGCAACCTTGCAGCTGGGCTCGGTTTAGGTTTATTTTTTTTCCCTGGCAGTGCCTGGGCTGCTTTTTATTTTCCTGTGAGGAATAAAGCCTTTGTGCTGGTTCAGCTCACGCCAATGGAGAGGTTTCTTCTCTTATGTCTTCCTCTGTATGAAGCGTCTTCATGAACAGAAGATGGGGGTGAAAAAAATCTAAGCTTCCCGTCCTCCCCCGTGTCCCTGTTTGCCAAAAGTGCCCGGAGCTGCTGGTGGCTTTTGCTGTAGTTATTGCTCTGGGCACTCTCAGGGCTGCTCTAGTCCAGGCTCTTGTCTCTGCAGCCCAGGGGTGTTTTAGAGCTCTCGTGCTAAGGGGTTCCCTTCAGTGACCCTTTTGCTTAGCGGTGCAGTGCGAGGTAATTGATGAAAAAAGAGGAATTTCCCCAATCCCCGAGCTGTGCAGCAGCTTCCAGCCTGGAGAGCAGCCCCCGCAGCAAAGGGGCCGCGCGGCGCTGGGCGCTCCTGAGCTTCCCAGGCCGGAGCAGCAGCTGCGCAGCCGGCGGGAGCAGGAGGTGGAAACGCTCTGAGTGTTTAGTCAGCCACGGGCAGGCTTGAGAAGTGGCGCGGGTCGGAGCTAACCGAGCGCGAGGAACCGCTTTCCAGTTGTGTCGGTTTTGCCCTCGGGCTTGTTGCTGCTTATGCATCCGCGCGGCAGAGGCCGGGGCGGGCGGCCGGTTGCCTCCGCGGCGCGTTCCCGGCTCCGGAGGCGGCGCGTTCCCGGCTCCGGAGGCT